CTGCAGCTTCGGAAGATCCGCTCTTCGTGGAGGTTGAAGCCGACGTTTGGGAAAGCGAGCAAGGCAAGTCACATCATCTTTGAACATATTAGATCCCACTTTGTGAAATTATTTTGATTTAAATTATTGCATTATCGCTTTATTTAAATTCCCGCGTTATCACTGTTTTATTTAGCCATGCCTATTTACCTTTGTTATGACCTTATTATTGTTATTGTTATTATTACCTTGTTGACCCTAGAATAAACAAAACCCCAACTAGTGGGCACTCTACTCATGGTTCCCCTAGTATGAATTTAGGTAGATGCTTCGCTGATTAAAAAGACAACATTAGGTGGTTTTATAATTTTAGACTTTGGGAATATTCATATCTCTTGGACTTTATGGAATGGTTGGACTATTGTGGAATTGGATGCACACCTTTCCCTCTATTCAAAACTCTCAAAATGGTTTTAGGCTGGGCTTGGGGTGCATGGTTTTGATAGTAGCACCTCGGCCACATAAGGACCGGTCTTCGGGCCTCTGTTGCAAAGCACTACCGTACTTCCACATGTCTAGTGGGTAAGGCTTAGTTTGTGGCTCAGTCTGGTTATAAACAAAAGTACACGGATCGAGATGGACGAAGTCAGGGGTCGATGGACATCTCTAGGACAAATGAAGGCTACACGAGCTGCGGCCCGGTAGTCGAGATGTCGTGGCACAGGGCTGGTGTTCTGCTGCTAGGGGCTCAGTCCTGCCTACCTGTCCCGGAGGTTCCGGCCGTAGGTGGGGTTGGGTTGGTACTCTTGTCTATGGCTAGGATGGGTTGGAAACTATGTCATGTCTTCTGTCCATATGCCGTGGTGGTATGTGGCACGTGGTTGCACGTGAGGAAGACGTGTCTTGTGGGTAAAGATGTACACCTCTTATCAGAGTAAAACCTATTCGAATAGCCGCGCCCTCGGTTATGGGCAAGCCAAGCAATGTACCCAAGTTAGTGTTTTAATCCTTAAAACCTGCTTAACAACTAAAATGTGGAATGGTTGGCCTGGGTTGGCTTGGGACGAGCTGGGACCCAGGGTCGGGTTGCCAGTCCGGTCTGAATCATCGTGGGCCTTGGGTTAAGGCAGGTTCGTGTGGGTTCACGACCTTGTTTAGTAATATTAAATAGTTCTAGGATCGTGTTTTAAATTTAGCTTTGAGCAACTAAGTGTCTTTTAAATGCTGTTTACTGCAAAACCTAACCCCTATACTATAACTCCCTTGTACTCCTTTCATTTATGCTGCACTCGTGGGTGTGTCTTGTTGAGTACGGTAGTTGTACTCAGTCTTGCTCAATTTTTCCCAAACCCAGAGGAGGAGCTTCTAGATGATGAAGGCTTTGGTGTCTAGCTCATGCCTGCCGTCAAGCGCCTGTGGTCGTCGCCCTAGTCTTCCGCTGTTTTTCGTTGTCTTTGTGTGTGCTGGGCCCTCGTCACCCATGTAATAATTAACTATTTACGCTTCCGCTTGTTAAACTCTGAATTGTATCAACTTTTGGTGTACCTTGCCTCCTGGGACAAGGAATAATACACGCACGTAAGGAACGCCCGTTGGGTTATTTCCGGTCGTGACATTTATCACGTGCCATTCCGTCGCCGATCCGTCCGTCCGTCCCCAATGCCAGCGACTCTGTCCGTCTTCTCTTCCCCACCTTGATATGCTCGTCGCCGGCACCGGCGAGGGCCACGCTTTAGAGGGGCTCGAGCTCGGATTTCGGCGTGGATGTCAGGAACCGGTCGTCTTGTAATCTCGCAAAGCAATAGCTGATCGAAACGGCGAGCCGAGGCGCACGAGGCGGGGCCAACCGCAGACGTCGCGACCGCCCTCCACACCGCAGCATCGTCGGGCAACTCGGCGAAGAAATTTCCAGCGTCTTCCACCTCGACGTAGCCGGCGAGCGGCCGCCTTCACGAACCCAGGCCACATCGGGAACAGAGGCCATATCTATCCCGCGGACGTAGCTTGGGGCAAATCAGGGGAAAGCTCTTAGCTCAGTCCATCGTCCTAGACGCTGCCGTGTGCACAGCCGTGGAGTCTCGACGCTTGCGACCTCAGCACTAGGCAGAGCTGCAGAGCTAATCTCTTCCTTGCCATAATCAGCAAAAAGTTGTTAATCTTCCCACACAAATGCATTGAGAAAACCATCCGAGCTCGAGCGGTCGAGCCCCTCCAACTCTCCAAGAGTTTGGCCCACGCCGGCGCTGGTGATGAGCGTGACGAGGTGGGGAAGACGACGGAATCGCTGGCGTTGGAGCGGACGGACGGATTGACGATGGACGGGACAGAGTGGCACGGAATAAAGGAATTCGCTATCTCAGTGATAAAATCTGAAAGGAGTGCGTATTGAGTGTTATATCCTGAAATACCTATGAATTGGATGCAAATAATGAAAACTGAGCACATCACCATCAACTCCATGTACTGCTTCGAGGGAGGAGAGGATGAAGGAGAGGGAAGATGAAGAGGGGAGATGGGGGAGTAGATGAGGAAGAAGACATGGGCAATTTCATCCTAAAATTTTAGAAAATGTGATATAGGGGTAAATAGTGACACAAAATGAATACGTGTGAAATTATAATAGCGTGGATCCAATTATCCAAATCCAAATACATAAATATTAATAGCATATTTTGAATCAATCAAAATTATAATGACAGGGATCCAATTAATTCTTCTTTTTTTTTCAATCAAGCATACAGAAGATGTATGCTACCTCAGGCAGTCGGTTCAGCTATAAAATGTGAAATGAACCATCAATTTCCAGAAACAGGGAGGAGTTGGGACAAAATAGCATGAGAAAGGGAGCAATTAACTTTTGAATTTAACTTCGGGGGCATAAAAGAGAGTAGGCAAGAGGAAGTGTGTGCGAAGAAAAAGAAGAGAAATCACCATATTTTTTTAGATAATAGAATGAAGCATCCCGGCCTTTGCTCATGAGAGCTACAGCCAATTATTACAAACTAGCACTCTAGAAGAGTGTAGTCCAAATGAAAGCAAACACACCAACCAAAAATTAAAGAAAACCAAACAAGACAAAAAGAACATTATTCCAGTTTATTGGTAAATCTCCATCCATGGTTGGCAAAAAGTTGCATATCCGTCGTTTCAAGCTTACGACATGCAGTATTTAGGAACTCACCATCTTCATCACACTTTTGTAATTATGCCCACAGGCGAAGCCAATATGTCGTCTTGAAAATTAGAGAAAAAGGACAATATGCCACTCTCTATCGTTGGTTTCACCAAAATGCCACTCATTAGGATGTATAGGATAAAATGCCACTCTATATGTTGATCTCAGGATAGATTGCGACTTTGGAGAGTTTTATCTATTTTATTTTCTTTTCTGCTCATTTTCTTTCATGGAGTGACCAAACTACCCTTGGGCTCTCAATACAGAATCTTATATGCAGTTGGTCGCTCCAGCGCCATGGCAGTGCTCGCCATCCTCCAGCGCCATGGCAGAGCCTGCCTGTGCCAACACACATGCATATCCTTCAACTTTTTTTTGTACAACCAAAAATGCATCCCCTAAAATATATCACATCCATTTTCAGGTTGATAGCAGCAAACCAAAATGTTCACAAAGCATTCCAAAACACAATCCAGTTCATACATCATACACAAACCATTCAACCCATAGTTCAACCGAGCTACACAATCCAGTTCATACGTCATACACAAACCATTCAACCCATAGTACATACACATAGTTCAACCGAGCTACATAATTTTAAGGATAAATTAAACAAGCAATCTAGGTCTTCTTCATTCTCTTGGGAGTCAATTTTTTCTTCTTAGGGATAGTAGAACTATTTCCTCCAGATGTGCTAGCTCCCGTGAGATCTGCTCCTGCAGAAATGCTTGCTCCCAAATTGCCTCCTGCTTCTCCTGTGGTGCCTGAGCTATCTCCTAGCAGCATTGCAAGGCACGTACACACAAGCACAGAACATAAGCTACTCCCATGCAACAATTTGGATGAGATACATGCACATACAAATACTTTATTTACCTTCTTGTCACCATTCCGGGGCTTTCTTGCATTAGTGTATCCCTATTTGTGGTCATTATTGGTGTAGAAGGTTCAGGTGGGTACTTTGTGGTGTTCTTCCTAGGTTGTCTTTTCCTACATAATATGCATATGGAACTGCTTAGTCACATGAAAAATAATAGTTTGTAAAGATAGAAAAAGTAATACCTTTTTTTCTTTGTCCCATTCATTGGGCACTTGTAGCTAGCTTGCCTATGACCCTTCTCTCCACACCCTTTTGCATGTAACTGGCCCTCTTACCATTTTCTTTTTCTTGTCAGCACTCTTTGCACTACTCTTGCCACCGGTCTCAAGACAACCCTTAATTCTCAATTTCCTATGTCTCCCTACACCCCTCTTACCTAGTGGTGCACCCAAGTTGAAAGGCATGTCCACCTGAGGCCAATGTGATTTGTCTGGCAGCGCTGGTATCTCTCTCTTATATGCAGCCTTGAATTTCTCTACTAAGTAATATACATCAACATATTCTTCTAAATTGACATTTTTTTGAGTTGTTAAGAACATAGTTATTAAGACCGGACCGGCAATCGAACCGGTGAGACCATCGGTTCACTGATTTATTGGTCTGACCGGTCGGACCACTGGTCCAAAGCGGCTCAATAACCCAATAAATATACGACTAACTACATTCAATCACGAGGAAGAGCGTAGCCTGGTGGTAGGTTCCCTTTTCTACATCCCTGAAGACCAGGGTTCGAACCCCCGCAGGAGCGTTTTTATCCTATTTTCCTTCCTTGCATGCACGTACTCCCGCACGTAGCAGCCCGAGGCCGGTTCAACCCCGGTTTCATAGCGGTTTTTCCTAAAAACCGGTCGGTCTGACCGGTTTATACCGGTTTGATTGCATATCTGGTCTTTTAAGTGGACCGGACCGGCAGAGGTTTCGGTTCCGGTTTTTCCCGGTCCGGTCCGGTCTTAATAACTATGGTTAAGAAGGGTAGTGCATGCCCAGAAGGTTGGCCGGTGTGCTGCCACTCTTCACATGTGCAAGTTTGTGTTGTGGCTGAAACAACATGCCTTCCAAAGTCCTTGTCTGACACCTCTGCGGTACATTCATGTATCCTAATCCTCTAGTCCTTCCCTTCAATTGGTGCATTACAGCTGGTAGAATCCTACCATGAAGCCTTTCTCCAATCCTCCTTCTCTTATCCCATAGAATCAAAATTGTCTCCCTTATCTTGTCAGCTAGATCAACAACATGCAGGTCCTTGTAGTCCCTAATCCAGTTGTTGAAAACCTCAGCAATATTGTTTGTGAAGTAGTCACACTTGATTTCTGGGTTGAACCCACACCTCATCCACTTCAGTTTATGATATGTTGTCAACCATTTCCAAACCTCAGGAGATCCATTAATAATAGGGGTCATGTGCTTCTGGAACACCACACTGCGGTAAGCCCTAGCTGCAGGGTACATATTTCCAAAAGTGTCACCATGGAACCTCTTTGCAAAATTCTTCATGAGATGAAAGAAGCACTCCCTTTGTTCAGCTTTATGGAACACCTTCTGCACTACATTCTCTAACCCCTTGCATTCATCAGAACAAATTGCAAGAGGTTCTAGATCCCCTATTGCCTTATGGAGCTGTGTCATGAACCAAACCCAATTGTCCTCACTCTCAGAGTCAATAAATCCAAATGCAACTGGATACATCCAATTGTGCCCATTTATTGATGTAGCTGAAGCTAAATGTCCATTCCACTTACCATTTAGTGCAGTAGAATCAATACTAAGGTAAGGTCTACAACCATCAACAAACCCCTCAATGCAAGGACTAAGTGCACAGAAAAACCTATGAAAGTATGGCCTCCCATCAACTTCCTTGATGTCAATTTCCACAATACTACCAGGTGATCTCTTAAGGACCTCTTCCTTCCACCTATACAACATTTGAAAACTTTCTTCCCAACATCCATACAATTCAGTCAATGCTTTCGCCCTACCCTTCCTAACTGTATCATAATTGATTGTTACCTTGATCATCTTGCAACCTTTTCTACAAGGCTTTGGGACCCATGTTAGGATTGGTGTTGAGGATATCAATAGCCTTGTCAGCAACCCATGCCTGCGATGGTGTAGTTGTCTTTATCCTCATGGTAGATGTACATCCATGGTCCTCATTATGAACTGTGACCTGCAATACAAATGAGATGTAATTAATTAGAGCTTTATAAATAATAATTATAATAATAGGTAGTTATAGTTGAGGTTAGTACCATTATAGTTTTATTATCACTTTGTCTATGCCCAACAAGACTCCATGGACATCCCTGAACTCCACATTTTACCCTATATCTCTCCGGGTCAGATTTCTCTATGGCAAGCTCAAATTCCTTTTTAATTACAAATTGCCTCACAACCAATCTGAATTCTTTCAATGAGGGGTACATAGTGCCCTTGTCCATACAAGGGTTATTCTTGTCGTACAATATGACTACTTCACCTGGGATGGCATCATCAACAGGAATGGCTGCACCGTCGGTGCCCTCAATGACTGCATGACCATTTAATTCTAAAACATTATTTGATTCATCAACTTGTGCAGACTTCTTTGCCCTCTCATTTTCATCACTCAAGCCTAGAAGTTCAAATAGTTGGTCATCAGTCATGACCTCAGTCCTTCCTTCATCATCTTTTTTTCCCTCAATATCCAAGTTATCCCAATCAATTAATCGAATTGGTGGCTGTTCTGGAATGGACCCATGCTCAATAAATAAAGGCACACTTGTGTAACTATCTAGATGCTCTGCAGCTACAGCTGAAATAGCTGAAGCTGAACTTGATCCATAATCAAACAATTGAAGATCTTGCTCAAACCTAAATGAATTGAACAAAAAGAATGAGTTAGCTCCATCTAACTCCATGCAAGAACAAAGTGGAAACAATGGTGAAGTATTTTACCCCGAGGGCACGTTGTTGCAGTTTGAGCTGATGGTGTCAATGTGTTGCATGCAGGACAACACATACCAATAGACCCCCAATCTACCTAATTAGGGTTTCATGCAATTAATCAGTGCAAAGAACAATACAATGTCAAATTTTTGGTTTGTGATTTCTCACCATCCAAATGTCACACCAGAACCTACTACGAGTACCTTGGGACCCGGCTTCTCCCCTAACGGCAGCCGGCGCTAGAGATGGCCACCACCGACCGATGTGCTGGAGAGAGAGATAGAGGGGGGGAGGGAGACGCGCGCGAGGGGGAGCTGAGCTGGAGGAGCGGTGAGCGGCGTTGGGTGGCGGAGTAGCCACGCGCGACGAGAGAAGCGGGGCGCGCGGCGGCGTTGGAGGATGGGGACCGCGCAGCGGCGCTGGAGGATGCGCCCGCGAGTTGGAGATGTGGAGGAGCGGCGAGCGGTGTTGGGTGGTGGAGCAGCCACGCGCGGCGAGGGAAGCGGGGCGCGGGGCGGCGCTGGAGGATGGGGACCACGCGGCGGCGCTAGAGGATGCGCCCGCGAGTCGGAGATGTGGAGGAGCGGCTCGATCTGATCTGGTTTCTGTTCTGTTTCTATATTGAGAGCCCAAGGGTAGTTTGGTCACTCCATGAAAGAAAATGAGGAGAAAAGAAAATAAAATAGATAAAACTCTCCAAAGTGGCAATCTATCCTGATATCAACATATAGAGTGGCATTTTATCCTATACATCCTAGTGAGTGGCATTTTGTTGAAACCAACGATAGAGAGTGGCATATTGTCCTTTTTCTCTGAAAATTACCTGCATATTGGTAACAGATGGTGATAGTGAGTTACTAGATGACCAGGTGGAAGATAATTCTCTACCATATACCAAAGGAAAAAAACATGCCCACCCCCCGCATCGCCAACACGCAGAGAACACAGGGGGTGAAACCCTAGCGCCGCCTCCATCCCCCCTTTCCCTACCTCGCCACCGCCAAAGTTCACCGCTGAAAAGCCGGTTGGCAAGCTAGGATGGCGGCGGCGGGGCCTATTTTGCAGCGGCGCTCCATCTCAGGCATGGGGGAGGCGGTGAACGCTTGGTGTGTGGAGTAGCGGCGGCGGGCCCTCCTTGCAAGAAGGCATCGAATCTGGCCACCACGGGTCGCCCCAGACTGAATCTGGCCGGAGCGCAGGAGGAGATGTGGTCGGCGGTGGCAGAGGCCAGCGCGGTGGAACGAGGTGCGGCTGGCGGTAGCAGAAGCTAGCACAGCGCGACGAGGAGTGGCCAGCAGTGGTGGTGGAGCTCCTGGTCTCGGGATGATGCGGACATTACTCCTTCGGATACACACAACAATCCTCCAACAGTCATTCAAGGACCGATAACAAGAGCTCGCGCACGACAATTGAATTTAGAGGTGATCTCATTCCTATGTTCTTCTTTGTAAGAATTTGAGAATAGATTGGTACCTAATGATTATATTGTGATTATGAACAATGGAAGGGACAAGGAGACACTTGGAGAAGGACTTAGAGTCATGGAGGATCATCCAGGGTGTCCAAGTCAAGGTGGAGGCCCAAACCAAGTCGACCTCGAGTGCAATTCGGAGTCCAGAACCAGTCTGCACTAAACTAGGCGCCCAGGTCGCATACATGCTTGGATTGGGGCATTCTTTATATGGATGGAAATCTAAGAAGATAAACTTTCTAATGGTTTTGGTCTCACATCCAAATTCTTTCTGAGTCAATGGGAATTGACCAAACAAGTTGGCATCCAAAATCTATCCTTGTGCTTCGTCACCGTATTTGGGCCTTAGAGACGTGTATCATGTAGGAACCCACTAGGGTTGCGTCAAGGGTTGGATGCACAACCCTAAACTCTATATATCAGTAGCCGCTATCATCTTCACGGTTTGGGTTTTGCTTAGATTATTCTGTCAAGACAATTTCGCCGCTAGATCGGTTTGTAAGACCCCAACTTGTGAGCTTAATCATTCATCTGCAATTTTGGTTGTATTCTACCTTGTTCTTGTTTGTGTGCTTCGATTCGCAAACAGGGATTAGCCTTCTCGGCGAGGTCATCCGTGCTTCGGCACGGGTGATAACCAGTGGAGACGTGGTGCTGCGATTGCGGGGCTCAAGAGCGTGCGCGTTCAAGAAGCTGGATCGATTTGTGTCGCGACTCTGCCCAAATCATTGATTATCAGAACCTTTCGGAAGATCGGGAACCCTAGTGTACATCATTTGGTATGATATCTGGGCCCTTGTTTAAGGGGGTGGGAATGATGAGGACATCCTCTACTATTACCCGCTGGCAAAGACACAAAGTCGGGCGGCGACCGTGTGAGCCTCTGAATAATCCCACCTTGCTTAGTTTAGGAGGAGGAAGCCACCTTAAAAGGGAGAGCCACCATTCCCCTATTGGACTAGTCTTTTAGGGAGATTGAACCTTTCCCCAAGTAGGTGTGCCTAAGAACTATTGGAGTCTGGACAACCTTAATTTGTTGGGCCTCGGCCAACCCCACCTGGGCCGGATGTATCATTGGCTGTGGTGGAGTTGAGGTGGCGTGTGCCCGACGTGGGTTCGCTCTTGGACACGCGGGCGACAGAGGCTAGCGCATTGTGAGGAGGCGCGACTAGCGATGTGAACGACGACTGTGGATACTGGCGTGGAGAGCGGGTGGCCGTGTGGTGGCACACGGAGGCTAGGCGTCGGGAGCACCGGTGCAGCGGTACCCACGTGCCGACGGAGGATGGACGGAGGTGGAGCAATGTAGCGTTAGATGTGGATAGGCTTGTGGCAGGTGAAAACCTAGCCTGGTCTAGCCTTGTATTTTTTTTTCCTACTCTATTCAATGAATCTTGGAGAAGACATAGCGATGAGGGGGACACGCACCGTCTCTGGATGGGAGTAGAAGTACAGCTGATATTTTTCCCCAATAGTGCAGGGATGTGGAAAGGCCTTTTGTAAAAGAAACTTATTGAAAGATCAACAAGATGTTTTGTCAATTAAGGGATCAAACAGTTAGTAACCACAGAACAAAGAATCGGATGGTCCATGTTTTCCTGATGACGTGGCACATTGTGGTGGTGAAAAGGTTTAGTTTTTTTCACTATCTAAGTGCTGTTCATAACAACCATCACTATTATGGTATCTTTTGGATGTAGGAACTATAGATTTACTGTGCCACATTTTTTTCAAACTGAAGACCAAAGTTGGAAAAAAAAAACCAAACAAGAAACTAAAAATCGGACAGTTCAGTTTGGTCTGGCACAGTTTGAATTCTGGTTTCCTGTTTATTTCTCCCACCTTGTTGAAGGAATGGCACTTGTTGTCCTGTACTCCCTACATCCCAAATTAGAACGCACAACTACCACTAATGTGAATCCTATCTTACTATAAAGTTATAACCCACTAATTCTAAAGCTCAACATGCAAACATACCACCTCATCCTTGTCACGCCCAGAAATTCTCGAACCAGAATTTCTAAGCTGAATGTGCATTAAATCCCTGTCCAGGACCAGCCAGGGTACACAAACGACAATTGTTGACATACAGATCCACGTCTTACAAAAATAGAAAAGATTACAAATGCAGCGGAAAAGATAAAAGCGAGCTAAACCGGGAAGCTTGACTTCAGCAGCGGGCGGCTCCACTCCACAGGCAATCCTTGACGGCAGCGACGAAACCAACTTTGACAAAACAGCTCCAACTAGGAAGATCTTCAGCTCTGGTGTGGGGGAAAAGAGAGCAAGACTGAGTACTACCCACTGTACTCAGCAAGTCATACCGGAAGAGGAGGTATGATGCAGGATATAACCAAAGGAGGCTAGAGGTTCTTTTGCATAAAGCTAGCATTTAAAAGCAGTAGTTGAAAGCAGTAAAACAGTTGTAGTAATTAATCAATATTAACCAAACACTGTCCAACGCTACACCACGTTGCAACAGGCCCAACCAACCACCTGAACTACACCAGTTCATTAAGCTAAACTAGGGGTGAGACTAATCACGGTGAATCTGGTTGATCGCCCATAACCGCGGGCACGGCTATTCGAATAGTTTTACTCTGGCCAGAGGTGTACAACTGTACCCACAAGACACGATTCCACACATGTCGCCATGCCCCGAAGTATCACCATGATACTGCAAAGGGGGAAATCGTGACAAGACCCTCCACATAACCCTCCCCTAACCATCCACACCACGCTAAGGTTTCACCCCCACCCCTCAAAAGGCAGTGGGCGGTCCCCTCTTGCGCCGCGGTGAATCCGGCAGCTGGACAACCGGACACCCCGGCCGACCCAACTCCATCACGCCCACCCTCGCCACCGGTGCCTAGGAAAGGGTCGAGCTATACTTCAGATCAAGCAGTTACCCACTCCCGCTTGTGGTAAGCACGGTAAGTCTCCCAGGGTTTCCCGTGAACCGGTCCTTAACTGCCATGGGTGCGACCAGCAAAACCATGCACCCACAACCCACCATTCAATGTATTTTAATTAACTAACACCATTGCGGTGGCACCAATCCAAAGCTATGCTCATAGTCAAAGTCTACGTAATAAGGTGATCCCCATTTGTGTGCTAGTTGAACTAAGCATGGCTAAGCATTTCCTAAACCAACATCTAGTCATTTTGATACCCAGGTTATCAATGGCATATGGTACAATAAATGGCTGAGTAATAGGACCCATTCCACATGACATTGTAAAAGAA